TCTCGACACCATAGGGGGTGCGCAGGGGGTGGTCTCCCACCGCGGCCGCTATCCGTGACGGTCGTCCAGGGCACAGCAGGCATGGCATATTCTCGACACCATAGGGGGTGCGCAGGGGGTGGTCTCCCACCGCGGCCGCTATCCGTGACGGTCGTCCAGGGCACCGCAGGCATGGCATATTCTGGACACCATAAAGGGGTGCGCAGGGGGTGGTCTCTCACCGCGGCCGCTATCCGTGACGGTCGTCCAGGGCACAGCAGGCATGGCATATTCTCGACACCATAAGTGGGTGCTCAGGGGGTGGTCTCTCACCGCGGCCGCAATCCGTGACAGTCGTCCAGGCACAGCAGGCATGGCATATTGTCGACAGTGTAGGGGGTGCGCAAGGGGTGGTCTCTCACCGCGGCCGCTATCCGTGACGGTCGTCCAGGGCACAGCAGGCATGGCATATTCTCGACACCACAGGGGGTGCGCAGGGGGTTGTCTCTCACCGCGGCCGCTATCCGTGACGGTCGTCCAGGGCACAGCAGGCATGACATATTCTCGACACCGTAAGGGGGTGCGCAGGGGGTGGTCTCTCACCGCGGCCGCTATCCATGACGGTCGTCCAGGGCACAACGGTATCGGCGGGGCAACGGCCACCAACATCATTCTCACATGCTTCACTTCAGCTCTCATCTCTCCAGCCATCATATAAGTATGTGGGGTTCCTCGGTAGCGTAATTCCATGAGGAATCGAAGTTCAACGTATGGGAGATAGGGGCCCCGTTCCTAATTTGGGGTCCCTTAGGTCAACGCCCCGACTGCAGCTGCCTGGTGCCCCCACCCTTTGGGGGCGGTGCTTGCCTTGGGGGTCTCCGCGGGGCCTGCCGCCTCGGGGCTTGGGAGCACACGCCTCCGATGCGAGTTCTCGTGGCCAGACTTCGAGGGCACCGGGGACGTCTCCAAGGCTCGTCTCGGTTCCTCCAGTTCGATTCGATGCGACTCGATGCGATTTCTACGGCTTCCGATTCCGCTTCGGTGCGGCCTCGGATTCCGCTCTGGAGTCCGGTTTCCCAATGGAGGCCTACTAAGCCTGCCGATTTCCGCCGTTTCGATTTCCGCCTCGGCTGCCGATTCCCGCCGATCCGCTTCATTTCGATCTCCGATCCGCCGTGTCGTTTCGATGATGGGTTCTCTTGCGTTCCCCCTGGCGTAGGACTGAGGACTCGAAGAACTCGAAGGACCTGAGATCACTCCAACTGGTGTCTCGGGGCATGGTAGCGGCTCTGGAGCCTTGCGTATGTGTTAATGGAGCCCCGTGCGTGTGTGAACCCTATGTGTACGGAGTCCTGCGCTCGTGACGACGACGCCGGGGACGACGACGGCGACGGCGACGGCGAGGGCGACGGCGACGACGAGGACGACGACGCCCCCCCCCCGAACGCGGAGAGAGAGAGAGAGAGAGAGAGAGAGAGAGAGAGAGAGCGCACCGCTCGAGCCCACCGCCCGAGCCGAGAGGGAGGGAGGAAGGGAGGGAGGGAGGGAGGAGAGGGAGGAGAAGCATGAGAAGGAGGAGAGGAGAATCGAGGCGAGGGCGAGAGGGGAGGAGGCGGAGGGGGGAGGAGGGGGGGGAGGAGGAGAGAGGAGGTAGGAGGGAGGGAGATGACGGGAGATGATGAGGAGGAGGAGGAGGAGGACGAGAGGGGGGGGAGGAGGACCGGGAGGGGGAGGAGGAGGACGAGGAGGGAAGGAGCCCATCCCCCGATCGCGGCGAGAGCGCGCGCGCGCCCGCCGGGGGTCGCAACGAGGCGCGTGCCGTCCCTGGAGTTCGGGGCGGGCGGCCCGCGCCGACGAGAGAGGCGCTCATCGGCTCCTCCGCCACGTCCTGCAGATCACCTCGGCATCTTCTCCTCCTTCTTGTCCTCCTCCTCCTCCTCCTTTCTCGTTCTCCTCTTTCGCGTCCTCATTCTCCTTCGTCGTCCTCCCCCCCCTCCCCCTCCTCCTCCTCCTCGTCCTCCTCCTCCTCCTCCTGCTTCTCCTCCTCGCTCCCTTCTGCTCACCTCCTCCCTCTCCTCCTCCTCCTCCTCCTCCTCCTCCTCCTCCTCCTCCTCCTCCTCCTCCTCCTCGTCCTCTTCCTCCCTCCTCCTCGTGTCCTGTAGAACCACTCGGGACCTTCTTTTGGCGGGGAGCCCAGGGGGAAGTGAGAAGCCCAGACATCCTCGCGCCGTGAACAACAATCACGACGGCAGGTTTTTTGTTCTGGTTGTTTGTTTTGCCTCGAGGGGCCCTCGCCGGGCCTCGGGCCCGTTCGAAAACGATTCAGGATGAAAAAACATGTCCCCTACACCACTTTCACGACAGCTACCTCAGCCTGCCTGGAAGCCCGCCGACAACGCACTCCTTAGACGAGAAGTCCGCCTCGCTGCGGACAGACTACTTGGAGTCGTACCTCGCACCGCTGCTACAGTGGCCACTACACGTACACGGCGGACAACTGCGACTCGTAAGTTCAGCTTTGGGCACGTCTACGTTCGCAGCCGACCGGGCGGTCAGCTCAAGCGCACTTACTTCTACGCCTGCTCTGCCTCAGCCACTTCGGCCACCCGATCTCGAATCACAAGATGGCGGAGCAGACCCAGGAACGCAAGTCTCGAGCAGCGCGGAGAGGCCCCCCACCGTCCTTACCCAAGTCTGGGAATTATGGCAACGGATCCAAGGACGGCGAACGACCAGCGCAGCGACAGCGGACGGCTCGCAGCCAGGGGGGGGGGGGGGGGCTTCAGCGGCTTCAGCAGCACTGGCACCTCAGCCACCAGCAGCGGCAGAGGCGGCAGAGGGCGCACCGATGGAGGGCGAAGAGGTCGAGGGGGAAGAGGGCCGACGGCGACGCCGCAGCGGCGGCAGGCGAGCTCGCAGAGGCCAACACACCGACAAGAGTTGGACGAGCAAGGACACTAATCTGAATTCGCTAGTCCTGACACTCATGACGTTGACATTGCAGTATACACAGCGGATCAGACTGGTGATGCGCGCAGTGGCAGACACGTTCACGATGAAGATCACCCACCCGATCATCAGCCACATCACGGAAGAGCTGGAGGGCTTCCGCGAGAGGGCCATCGGCCTACGATATCGGCGAAGGACAAAGAAGGCCTCAAGCACTTGGGACCTCCGACCCCCGCGCTGGCCCTGGCGATGCTCGAGGGCCTCCAGGCTTGCGAGATAGGCGGCCGCGTGCGGACGCGAGTGGACGAGTACCTCGAGGAGTACCAGCCGTCGCGGAGAAGACCGCAGACCCCAACATCGCCAAGCTAGTGCTGGGCATCAAAGACTGGGACGGCCGCACCATGCTCCAGATGGCCTTCGGGCCGAGGGACCGACATCCCATCACCTGGGGCCCGCCCCAGCGGGCTGGCTGGAAGAGGAGATTTCGGTTTGGCTGGAGCACTTTCGGAAGACCGCCGCATAATTTTCGTCCAGGGCGATACTCTCCCAGCGTCTACACCAGCACCGGCGCCAGATCAGGCACCATCTCCGCCTGCGTCAGACCACATCGTCGTGAATGCCGATTCGGCCACATGGGAGGCTGATGATGAGGCTGCAGACTCTTAATTTTCCTGAGGAGATGGTTCGCCGACCCCTTAGCACCGTTCCCGCCGTGTCCCAGCGGGGCAGGTTGATGTGCACAGTTTTGATTCCGGCCGCGTCCTTCTCCCCCTCCTCCTCCTCCTCCTCATCCTCCTCCTCCTCCTCCTCCCCCTCCTCCTCCTCCTCCTCCTCCTCCTCCTCCTCCTATTAAACTTCACCCGCCTTACCATAAGGTAGGGAACATACCCGTGATGAGCGCCAGTTCCAGGGTCTCTTTCAACGTGCAATGCTTGTCTGCCCGCCAATTGCGTGCGGCACCGTTGCAGCGCACGGCTTTGAAAGGCAAGATGCAGCCCTCCAGTTCGGAAGCGCTGCAGCGCCGAGCAAAACATGTATATTCTTTTCGAGGGATTCGGCGGTGTCGCCCGAGGCCTCGGTGTCGTGTGGCATGGCCGTCTCATTCCCACTCGTGGTAGCGTCCATCAATACATTCACAGTCTGTGAAATTATTGCTCCCGTGCCGTCAGGAACAAATACTGGTCCCCAGGAAGCGGTCCAGACTTCTGAGGGTCACGCCATGAAAAAAGAAGGCCCGGGGACTTCCGAGCCTTTGAGAAGCCCTGCCCCCTTTCCGAGAAGGTTTTCTCCTTCTCATTTCCCCCCTCGTTCGCCGCCGATTCTTGGGCCCTGGAAGCGACAGGACTGTTTTTCCCTGGTTCCGTTTTGCTGTATGTTTTTTTTCCCAGTTTTGCGCCGTTGTTTGTCGGTTGCGTCGTCGTTGGTTTTCTGGCTCCGGCTCGGGTTCCAATGCTGAAGCAGTTTTGTTGCCGTTTCCGGTCGCCTTTTTTTCCGTCTCAGCTGCTGCTGCATTTTCTGTCTGGCGCCCGAGATGCCCATCACCTCGCCCAGCGGTGACTGACTACATGTACAAATTATTCCATAGGCCTAGTTTTTAGTCGGGCCTGTCCCTCTACAGGGGGAATGCTCAAACATAGTTTTTCTTTTAATAAAAAAAACATGACGATTTTTGTTAGTTTTGTTGAACCATGTTGGGCATTTTTAGGGTATTTCCAATTTTTCGTCCAAAATCCCTTTGTGTGGGGGACAGGCCCGACTTAAGCATAGTTCTAACTATCTGTATTAATACGCCGCCCGCACGGCCGACACCTTGTCTGTCCTTGGCTTCTGCGTTCTAGTGTCTCCCTGCTTCAGTGCGCCGTGCTGCGTCATTTTCCGCTCGGTCTGCCCAGGCGCCGTTCTCCAGTGCCGCAAAGGGCCCGGCCCATGGGGCCGGTCAGCAGACCGCCCTGTCTGTCTGTTTTTCGATCCGGGAGCAGCGGTAGGAGCGAGAGAGAAGGGCTCAGGGTGGGATGCAGGCTCGAGATTCGCAAGTTTTCATATGTCTCTTGACGGCTGTCCATGAACAACTCTCGTCGGGCACTGCGAGAACGCCGCTCAGACAAGTCGACAGGAATTCTGCACTGGTTCACTCGTCGTTGGCTTGAGTGTGCCGGTGCAGTCCGCCGTCGGTTTCGTTCATCGCCGTGCGTCTCACTGGATGCATTCGGATGTTTTTTGATGTTTATTCGCTGCCCCGCTGGGATGCACTCGGAATGCGGTGCCGTGCGCACATGGAGTGCCTTCATCGCAGTGCATTTTGCCATATGGGGGTCCTGCCACCCCCGAGATTCAAGTAACCCTATGCCTCTGATAATCTCACCCGGGGAAAATTAATTAACATCGGGGTTTGGGGGGGATGATAAATTCACCGTTCCGGCAACTCGCCTGTACGATGGGATGTTCGTATGGTATAGCGAGACCGTGGTGGCTTTGGCGGGACCTCCTTGTAGTAGTAGTAGTAGTAGTAGTAGTAGTAGTAGTAGTAGTAGTAGTAGTAGTAGTAGTAGTAGTAGTAGTAGTAGTTGTAGTAGTAGTAGTAGTAGTAGTAGTAGTAGTATGTAGTAGTAGTATAGTAAGTAGTAGTAGTGGTAGTAAGTAGTATTAGTTAGTATGTAGTAGTGTAGTAGTAGTAGGTAGTAGTAGTGTGTAGTAGTGGTAGTGGTAGTAGTAGTAGTAGTAGTAGTAGTAGTAGTAGTAGTAGTGGTAGTGGTAGTGGTAGTGGTAGTGGTAGTTGTAGTTAGTAGTGTAGTGGTAGTGGTAGTGGTAGTGGTAGTGGTAGTGGTAGTGGTAGTGGTAGTATGGTAGTGGTAGTAGTAGTAGTAGTAGTAGTAGTAGTGGTAGTGGTAGTGGTAGTGGTAGTGGTAGTGGTAGTGGTAGTAGTAGTACAGTAAGTAGTAGTAGTAGTAGTAGTAAGTAGCAGTAGTAGTAGTAGTAGTAGTAGTAGTAGTCGTATATCGTAGTAGTAGTCGTAGTCGTAGTCGTAGTCGTAGTTGTAGTCGTAGTCGTAGTCGTAGTAAGTAGTCGTAGTATTAGAGTAGTAGTAGTAGTAGTAGTAGTAGTAGTAGTAGTAGTAGTAGTAGTAGTAGCAGTAGCAGTAGTAGTAGTAGTGTACTTCACTACTACTACTAGTAGTAATAGTAGTATATATTAGTCATAAGTGTAGTAGTAGTAGTAGTATAGTAGTATGTAGTAGTAGTAGTAGTGGTGGTGGTTGTGGTGGTGGTGGTGTTGGTGTGTGGTGGTGTGTGGTGGTGGTAGTGGTATGTCACCGTTTTCGAGACGGGGGGATTCGAACCGGTAGTGACCCCCCCCCTGGTTTTCTGGAGCGGGGCGTTACCCCTCCGGTTTTGACGGGGGGCTGGGTGGAGGGGGGGAGGGGGGGGGGGGGGTGGGGGGGAGGGGGTTCGAGCAGGAGAGGGGGGATTTTCGGAGGGGGGGGGGGACCCCCGGGTTCCGGAGGAAGAGGGGGGGGGGGGGAATTTTCCACAGTAAAGCGGCGGTGGATCACGCTCTCTCATATATGTATAGGGGTTTAGAGTGTTGAGATGGGAGGAGGAGGTGAAGTGGGAAATTCATGACGGACCGATGGGAGCGAGGCCGACGGGCGAGCCGAACGATCGCGGTGACGAGGAGGACGAAGCAGAGGAGCCATTCTCTTCAATCATTGCTCTACTTCATCGAAGGATTGCAACAAAAAAAAACGAAGGATTGCAACAAAAAACGAAGGGTTATTTTTGCAATCCTCCGTCCTGGCTCCCCGTCCTCAGCGTTATCCTCCTGACGCTCCCTCCTGCTCCACCTCGCTCTTCTTGCCTCCTCGCCGCGCGCCCTCATCCTCCTCGTTCGCGCTCATCGTCCGAGCCATTCCTCCCCATTCCTCCACATCATGATGCTTATGCACATTCATCAAGAGCAAGTTCCCCCCTCACGCCTCTGATTCGTCCTCACATTCCTCCTCCTCTTCCTCGTACTCCCCCGTACACCTCCCAATATCGCCATCAGGAGTGCCGCGTTTTACTCTTCATTTCCGTCAACCTCCTTGGCACTCCCCCGCGAGGATCACCCTCGCGATCCTCCTGGTCATCTCCATTACCGCCATCGCGATCGTCCCTCGAGTCCTTTGCGCACTCCCGATTGACCATTCTCGCTCCCCGATCCTCTTGGATCCTCCTCATCCGCCCTCCGCGGTGCCCATTTTCTCTTCTCCTTGCCCGCACCACCCCCTTCAATTTCGATTTGACGCATCCTTCTCGGCCTCGTCCTCCGCTTCTTCCTCCTCTTTGTTCTCCCCCTCCTACGGTTCCCCGTTCCTTCCCAGTTCTCTCATAAATCTCGTTATCCATCCTACTCCTCGTCGTCTCTATCGTCGTCGCTCGTCTCTTCGCTCCTCATCGCTGCGGCTTCCCACAATCCTCATCCCATTGCCCATTGCTTTGACCAGTATCATAGACCCTGTTCGCTCCGACGGTACCGCCAACAGCATCCGTGCTGACATAATTAGCTACGAATATATACGGAGCGGCAATGCCATCCTTTGAACATCTGTTACGAATATATATATATATATAGACATATATATATATATATATATATATATATATATATATATATATATACCTATACATTTATATACATACATATAGGTGTAGATATTTTAGAAGAAAAATAGATACGGCCCCAAGTTTTTAGATGTGCTTGAAATATAGATACGTTTAGATATGGCGGCGCTCCCGTGTAGGCCGGGGGCGCACATCTAACAAGCACACCTATTTTGTCGCTTTTGCAACAGAGTGCATACGCTAGGCTCCTCGCCTGCACCCGGGCGCGACCGCATCTGAACGCATGTGTCACTTGAAGATGCGTCTGGCAGGGCACTGCGTGCCCCCGGGCCCCCTCAAGCGCCGCCCCGCCCCCTGCGCCGGCAGGCGGGAGAGGGGCCGCGACGACGGGGACGGCTTGCCGGCCAGGGGCTCCAGCCCGGGCCCCGCGCCGGCGCGGGACGAGGCGGCGCAGCCGAGGCGCTCCGGGGGGGCCGCCTCGCCGCCGCACGCCGCCGCCGCCGCCCCGGGGGGCGCCGAGGCGGCGCCCGCGAGGCGCTCCAGACGGCACTTAAGAGGCCCAGGGCCCAGACCTCCGCGCGCTGCGGAAAGTCACGTCGGGAGGTTTTTCCTGACTTTCGGCCTCCAGGGGCCGTTCCCGGGCCTCGGGGCCGTCAAGAAACGGCTCAGGAGGAAACACCGGTCCCCGGGAAGGGTCCCAGACCTCTGGAGGTCGACGTTGCCAAAAAGTCACGACGTCGGGGTTCTGGGAAGACGGCTCCAAGACTTGGCATCGCTCGGACGTGTGCATCTGTTTTTCGGCGAGGGCCATCGAGGAGCATCCTGGATTCTCGCGCCCCGTTGGGGAAACGACTGATTAAACGAACAGGTGGCGCGCGTGCCCTGGCTCTTGCACCAAGGAGCTGCGAGGGACAGAAGGCGTTCGCCTCCTTTCTCCAGGAGTCTCCTTCTGTGGCGGGGGGTTGGAGGACGATCGACGAGCGAGCGAACGACGATGAACGAAACTGATGAGATTCGAGCGAGCTCTAGAACACAGCTGTACAATAGAGTGCGGAGACACTCAAAGACACATGAGGCGTTCCACACAGGTCCTTGCCTTACGTCGGGCCTGTCCCCCTACAGGAGGAAAATCCCAAAATAGTCAAACATAGTCCGGGGACGAAGTTTCGAGCATGTTTGAACATTCTTTGATTCTTGTTTGACTATTTTTTGGCTTTCGTCCAAAATCCGCCTGCAGGAGAGGACACGCCCGACCTACGTCCTGCCTCCGAGCGATGGCCAGAAGAGAGGGGCCCAGACGCGGGGCCCCGAGCGGACACTGCGAGCCGCCGGCCCCCGAGGAGGTCCCCGAGGAGGTCCCAAGAGGCCCCCGCAGACCTGCAGGAACACGAACTGGGTGCAGAAAGAATGGGTGCAATGCCCAACAGCAGTTCCTGTTCATTTTGGGCAGGACTCGCTGTCCGCGCAGCCGCGGCCCGTGCCCACTTGAGACAGACGGCCGCCTGCCCAACAGCGGCCGCCGTCGGTTTGGGACGACAGTGGTTGTTGGGCATTCTACCCATTTTTGTCCGTACCCACTTCGGCCGTCCAATGCAGGGATCATTTCGATTCCCCCGATCCGATCCGATTCGATGTCGATGGGTTTCGATTCCGATTCGACTCGGCTTTTGGGATTCCGATCTGAGTCCCGACTTGCCTCTGGACGCATACGGGCCTGCCAATTTCCGCCGATTCGACCTTATCCTACGCCGCTGCGCCGATATATGATTCGTGTCGATCGCCGATCCGACTTCTCGATTCGACCTTGGGCGCTCCTAGGCCCGTCGCCCCTCGCCGCCGCTTCGTACGGCGCCGGCTACAAGATCGAGGTCGGTTCGGGGAGAGGGGTTGGCGCACGGGGGGAGCGGGGCGAGAGGGAACGGGGAGAGGGGAAGAGGGGGCAGCCTCAGGCTTGAATGTGCTTTGACTAGTTTTTGTTCGTCGTCCAGAATCCGCCCGCAGGAGGCCATGCCCGACCTAACCTCAGGCTTGCCCGCACCGCACCCGACCTCTCGGCCCTTCCCCCCCGCGCCCCGTCCCCCTGCTCTGATGTTTCCTCTGTCCGCCGACGGGCGGGCGGCCTGGAGGACCAGGATTCCCAGAGCAGCCTTACATCGGGCGTGGGCCTCTACAGGGGGGAGGTCCAAGAACAGTCCAAAAATAGTCTGGGGACGATTTTCCTATGATTTTTTGACTCTTTGGAGCATTCTTGGACTATTTTTCATGTTTCGCCCAAAATCCGCATGCAGGGGGACATGCCCGGCTTAAAGAAGCAGTCCCATCGTGTGGTGCGCAACCAGAGACGGGGCTGTGTACGGCTGGCCCGAGATATGAGATCGAGGTCGCTTCGGGGAGTGTGCCCTGATGTTCTTTATGTTTGTTGGATGTTCTTGCGCATCCTGGGGGGAGGGCGCCCTCGAATGCTTTTCAGTTTTGGCTGGTGGAGGGTCTCGTGTTCTTGAGGGATGTTCTTCAGTCCTATGTCCGACTGTACCCATACCGCTGCCCTTGCCTCGTTTTCCCCTTTTTGGGTCCCCTGGGAGGCTCTCATCGCCACCGCTGGATTCGCTTCGAATTTCTGGTCAGAACGCACCCACGCACCCTGGGAGTGGTCCAGGAAGTAGCGGTATTGGGACCCCGTTCGATTTCCCCAGGCTTCTCGACACGATCGGAAGGGGTGACTAGACCGATTGAGAACAATTACCCTGTGATGTACCCAACCCTTTCTAGAATGTGGCGATTATACTCTGGACCACCCAATGCTGACTCGCATTATGAAGGACCCGCAGTGCGCAAGAAGAGCACCCAGCAGTGATTTCAGAAGAGCGCAGCAAGAAGAGGAACGGCACATCTACAACATGGAAACACAGGGGCGTTAAAAGAAACGCGTATGACCACCTCCGAGTGATCCGCGTGGGACCTACCTCCGCTGGGCCGCCCAGGAGCCCACGAAAGTGGCGACAGTTGCGCAGATCGCAAGCCCCCCAGGGGGCGGCGAGGGAGGTGATCCGCGTGGGACGTACCTCCGCTGGGCCTCCCAGGAGCCCACGAAAGTGGCGACAGTTGCGCAGATCGCAGCCTGGTGGCACGAGAGAAGAGGAGAGGGGAGCACAGAAAACAGGAGAGAAGGAGGAGGGGAGGAGAGGGGAGGAGGAGAGGAGGTGGAGACCACACTGCTCTAATTGAAACGGGCACCCAACACAGGAGGGTTGGGGACAAAAATGCTACAAGCATAAACGTTTGACGCTCCGCGCGGATCTCTTGGATCCGCGCTGGACCCCCTCCCTTGGCGCGCGGAGCGCGCCAGGGGCGGCGCTGGATGCGCCGCGAGAGGGCCCAGCGCAGATCCAAGAAATCCGCGCGGAGCGCCAGAAGTATTTTTTGTTTATGCTTCTTCCTTCCTGCTCTTTGGCGACAGCTGATCCTGTCCAACTTGGACAGGGTTCGATGTCGGCGTCGCCAGACGTGGGCGGCCATTTGGAGGCAGAAGGCCGCCTTGCCCAGCAGTGGCCGACGTCTCGGGGAGGGCGCCAGCTGTACACACAATAGATCCTTGCTGTGCATCTTCAGGTGGACTTTCCTCCTCGTCCACCTCCTCCTCCTCCTCCTCCTCCTCCTCCTCCTCCTCCTCCTCCCCCTTCTCCTCCTCCTCCTCCTCCTCTCCTCCTCCTCCCCCCCTCCTCCTCCTCCTCCTTCTCCTCCTCCTCCCCCCTCCTCCCCTCCTCCTCCTCCTCCTCCTCCTCCTCCTCCTCCTCCTCCTCCTCCTCCCCCTCCTCGTCGTCCTCCTCCTCCTCCCCCTTCTCCTCCACCTCCTTCCCCTCCTCCGCCTCCTCCTCCTCCTGCACCGTAGATGGCAGTGCAGCCTTCTCTTCACTCCGACGTGGGTTCGACGCGGATTCGACGTGAATTCGGTGTTCGGTGTGGATTCGGCACGGAGTCGACGCGTTCGACGTGGATCCGAAATGGATGCGACATGGATGGCTGGCGCGATGGGACAGTCCAGGGCTCTCAAAGGCGACTACACGTAAGAGTGACCCTTCGCCAGAGTGATCCTTGGTGCGGGCCCACTGGGGCTCCCCCGATCGCCGAACGCGATGCGATAGAAGCGTCTTGCGCGCTCGTGTGTGGTCCCCCCGCGGCCCCCCCAAAAAAGCCGCGCACCAAAGGCCGCTCTTGCCCAGAGTCACTCCTGCGTATAGCTGGCAAAGGTTCAACGTGACGATCCTGGCCATGCCTTTACCCTGCACCTCCTCTCGCCGTGGACAGACACCTGGCGGAAGCTGCTTGCCGGCGTTCGGCCTCTAGGGGGCCTCGCCGAGGAGAGGCCGGCCCAACGGAACGAGTGGGAAGTTCGGGGAGCCCCGCATGGAACGGGAGAGGACATCGGATGTCCGGGTACGGTCGGACCCAGTGGCCGGGCCAGGATCGGTGCAGGCATATATTCTAGGCCTCCCAGATTCAAGCAGTGGCGAAGCGTCCTGGCGTACCCATAGGCCTGCCAGCCAACGTTCTAAGAACTTCTTGTGGTTTCCACGAAATGTTCTTAGAACATTTCTGGCTGGGACTGTCTTGTTTTAACACATCTGGTTTACGTTTTACTTTTTTGGGTTCTAAGAACATGTCGTGGGAGGCCCGCTATAGGAATATAGTAATGCCGGGACGGTCGGTCCCCGCTCAATAGAGGGGGTCGGAGTAGACGGGGTCGGAGGATCGCGCCGCATCGGCGATGCATCGGCGACGCGGCTCGATGTGGAGCCCAGATGTCTCCACGCTGGCGTCGCCGATGCATCGCCGATGTCGCCAACGCGTCGCCGATGCATCGGGGATGTATCGCCGATTCATCGGCGATGCGGCGCGATCCTGACCCCTTCTGCTCCGATCCCATCCAGGACAGGGCTGGACCTAGACGCTGCTTTTCCGGACTCTGGCTGTGGTTTTGTTTTTCGTTCTGGCCGGGAGTTATAGGAAACAACAGGTGGAGCAACACGAAAAAACAGCACGAACACAAGACGAACAGCAACGCTTAGGTCTTGCCCTGATCCAGGAGGCCTCTACGCTCTCCTCCGATCCCATCCAGGAGGCCTCATATCCACTCCGACCCCATCCAGGAGGCCTCATCCACTCCAATCCCCTCCGACCCCATCTACTCCGATCCCATCCAGGAGGCCTCCATATATACACCGCTGGCGCCCACCCCCATCCCGCCGTCGTCACCGCCGCCGCCGGCACCGCACCTCCGCCGCCGCCACCGCCGTGCGGGAGAGCCAAGGGCCCAGCCCCTCCCCCCCCTGTCGGGCCCCGAACAAGAGTCGCGACGGGCAGTTGTTCTTTTTTCTTGCCCTTCGGCCTCCCGGGGGGGGGCCCGCCGGGCCTCGGGATACCGTCGAAAACAAGAAAAACGGCTCGGGACGAGAAGCTGT